ATCTTCCTTTTTGTGACAGTTGCAATTTCATTTCAACAAGGAGGACGACACTGATCCTTTAATTACTGCTGGGGTGCCTGTGCTGCACCTTTGCCAATGTTCCTGCTCCTTTCCTCCAGTCTGATGCAGAAGCAAATAACTCCTGCTTTTTCTTTTGTGGCAGTGAGAAAGCAACTACTGGAGCAGGGCTGTGTCAGGCATGGCATGGCACTGAGCAGCTGCATGGTTAAGACTGGCTTGGGGTTGAATGAACAGGTTTGCAGCACATTTATTCCTTCAAGGCACATAAAGACTCCTCTGTGGGGCTTCACCTCCTCTGGTTCTGGAGAAGTGTGGGTCGGGAATGTGTTCAGAGGGAAATAATCATTCCATGTCCCTTCTGGTCTGAGTGGCTCCCACCTGTGTGTGATGTCTGGGACTGTGTGTGTCCTGTCCTTCAGCAGAGGGGTCTGGAACTGGGCTGCCACTGGAACAAATCCGTGCAGCCTGCCCTGGAGCAGCAGCCCTGTCCTGCCTGTCCCAGCCCTGGGCTGCAGGGGAGTTCTTGAATTGCTTTTCTGCTGCAGCACTGCTTGTTTAGACCCAAGGCTGTGTCATTTCTCAGCTGTTCCACTGCAGCTGGGGCTGCCAGTGTCCAGGAGCTTTTGGAATATCTACTTATATCAGTCAAGGGCAAGGCCAGTTGTACTGGTTTAAGACTTTGAAGACCCTCAACAGCAACTCAGAGCCTGCCCTGGGTCAGGGATTAGATTGTAAAATTAATTGTTGGAAGAGCTGAGCTGTAGGGGTGAGAGCAGAGGCCTCACAAGCAGAGGGGGTAGTGACAGGAGCTTAGGGAAAAGGTCCAGGAGCAAATACTTCCAGGAGAGCTCTTGGGTTGGATCATTTCTTTTGGTGGAAGAAAGGTACAGCCATCCCCACCCCTGGGCTGAGCTCTGCCATTTGTGGATTGAACACAAATATCCCTGAGCCAGCACACAGCCAGATGTCAAAAGGCAAATGAGAAGCCAGACAGGTAAGGGAATGACCTCCAAGCCTGAAGAACAGTGAGTACAGGGGCGTTTCTTGGGATAGCTTCTCATTTCTGGCATCAAGACAGAGGGCTGTTTTCTTGGCAAGAAAAAGTGGTATCCATGACTGGGAGCGTGACTGGGGCTTGCAGAAATAATCTGAGTTTGGACCAGTTATAAGACTGGTCTGTGCTCAAACTTTATGTGAGGGGAAAATGGGTTCTGGGAGGATCCAGGAACATAAAATCCCATCTTTTCCCCTTGGAAACCAGCATGTATCTGCACACCTCACTGCACAGGGGCTCGTGGAGCCACACTTGGGTTATGGCTGGGATGCAGAGGTGGTGTTGGAGCTCGGTGACCTCCTTGCTTTGGGTGGGAGAGAAGCAGAGGACCTCGGAACAGCACCTGCCTGTACAGTTCACGGGCTGCCGGACACTGAGAACGCGTGGTGTGTTAGATCAGATCCCTTTTGTGCCTGTAGAAGGCTCTCCCGACGGTCCCACACCCCATTCCTGCATCCCGGGAGCGCTGCCACCCGCAGTGACTCGGGCAGCAGGAGCCAGCCCGGCTCAGTCCTTCCCACAGATTTGCTGAGCAGCATTTTCCGTGCCGGGGCTGCTTCCCGGAGCAGTTGTCACAGCGGCTCTCCTGAATCCCCCTTTGTTGGCAAAGCTCTTCAGCTGCTGCCGCTCACGGAGCTGGCGGCCGTGTGAGAGCGGCTTCTGTGGGGGCCGGGGCTCTGGGGACCGGACCAGCCCGGGGCTCTGGGGACCGGACCAGCCCGGGGCTCTGGGGACCGGACCCAACCCGGGGCTCTGGGGACCGGACCCAGCCCGGGGCTCTGGGACCGGACCAGCCCGGGGCTCTGGGACCGGACCCAGCCATCCCCTGCTCAGACTGGACTCTGAGGAAGCTCTTCCCAGCCATTCCCTGCCTGTCCCGGGACTCCTGGGGAACCATTCCCTGCCAGCCCGCAGCTCTCGGATGCCGTTCCCGGCCATCCCCTTCCCGTCCCGGGCTCTTGGGGCCTCAACCCTGCTCTGCCGGAGCTCTCGGGGTCTGTCCCCAGCCATCCCCCGCTCTCCCGGGCGCTGCAGCGCGGTTCTCCTCCCGAGAGAGGGCAGCGCACTGCAGCTGCTGCTGCTGCCCCGCTGCGGGCTCAGCCCGAGCCTGCGCTGGAACTGGGGCTGGAA